GCTCCCCAGCCATGGAGACGCAGGGGAGAAGGTCCCCCAGCCCACCCTCAATCCCAAGCACGTCTCCCCAGCAGGATGGCTTATGCTAGTCTTTCATCTTGAGGATGTTAAAACTGGGCCTCAAGTGTCTTCTGCCTCTGCCAGTGATTCTGTCGCCCCAGGTTCCACCCAGCTCCACCCCGATCTTGGTATCTGGATGGCCCCCTCCCCTGCCACTTCCCAGACAAAATGGGGCTGTCATTCCACTTCCTCCTCCCATATCTGTGACTCTCAAGGAACATGGGGAACATCTGAGCACCAGGCATAGATCTTTTTGGTGTGTGCGACCTTGGGCAGGTTACTTGGCCTCCATGAACCTCAGTTCTCTCAGCCATAAATTGGGATAGGACTTTTTTGAGAGGATTATATGAGATTTCAAGAACAACTAATACACTGATACAGTGCCACTCAGTAAACATTCACATCTGTCTCTCCTGTCTCCTTTGTCACCAGTCCCTTTGTCACATGCTTTGTGACCAGCATCAGGTCATCCTGGATCATCCCAACCCCAGCTTCCCTACCACCTGGCTTTGTGATTTAAACAAATTTTTTTAAAAATCCTCACCTGAGGATATGTTTATTGATTTTAGAGAGGAAGGGAGGGAAAGAGAGAGAGAGAGGAACATTGATTGGTTGCTCCCCCCGTACACACCCTGACCAGAGATTGAACCCACAACCTAGGTATGTGCCCTGATCGAGAATCAAACATACAGCCTTTTGGTGTATGGGATGATGCTCCAAACAGCTGACTCACCTGGCCAGGGCTTGGCTGTGTGATTTTTGAGTAAGTAGTTTAACCTCTCTAAGCCACAGTTTTTGCTTCTGTCAAATGGAGCGGAGTAGGGCAAATCTGAAGACTAATGAGACAATTAGCCTCAGCTCCTGGCATGTGAGGGACTCATAGTAGGCTCTAAATAAAAAGAAAAAGGTAGCTGTTATTACCACATTATGGGATGTAGAGCCACACTGGTGTTCAGCAAGATGATATAGTGTGTCCTCCTTTCTTTTGTGATGTGTCTCTTTGGTTGAGATCACACCAGAGGACATTGTAGAGCAGCTTAGAGCACATACCCAGCTGTGAGTGCTGGGCCTGGAAGGGCTGGGTATGATCAGGTAGGGGCCTGATCACAAAAGGCCTTGGATACCTGGGAAGGAAGCCTTGGGGAGCCACTGAAGGTTAATGAACTCAGAGCTGTGCCCCTGAGGGTAAGTGGACCCAAATGTGCACTGTTGATCAGAAAGGGGACTGGAGGCAGGAGACCAGGGAGGAGGCTGGCCAAGTGGTCCAGGTGAGAGAGACCCACGGCCTGAGCGCAGAAGGTACAGAAGGCTGTTCCCTTGGGAAAGAAGATTCTGCAAGTTGTCGGGGAGAGGTATGAGGCTTGGCAGATGGAAGAGTCAGAAAGAAGTGGAGCTGGCACGGGTGAAATAAAGGCTGATGTTGTGCATCTACTGAGTTTGCCATATCTGGAGGCGTCCAAGTGGTCATGTCCAGTCAGGCTTTACCAGAATTCCCTGGGGCCACTGGGTGGGGGTGGGGCAGCTTTCTAATTCTGCATGAAGAGTAGCCATGGCTGCAGGAGAGAACACCAAAATGAGTGGACCTCTTCTCCCCATCTCAAGTCTATCCCCATTCTTCCCATGGCCTTGCTGTGACTTCGGGGATGGGAAAAGGTGAGGCTGGGCTGCATATGAACTTTGGTGGCAGTGGAGCTGGGTTCAAACTCCTAGTCTGCCGCTTATCAGGCTGCAGAATTTGGCCTTAAATATGGAATGTCTCTTAGCCTCAGTCAACTTATCTGCAAAGCGGGACCTCGTGGCATGATCATGGGATTCAAAGGAGACCATGAAGGGAGAGCAGTTAGCATGGTGCCAGTCCCTGAAAGGTGCTTCGTAATAATATTTATTGTTTTCAGGAGGGGCTGGGCATGGAAGATCCTGGATTGGCCAGAGAAGGCAGAGCCAGGTGGGCAGGGCCAGGCAGGGTGTTCTAAGTCTCATATATGAGACCACCTTGATTGAGTGCCTAGCTTTAGCAAACAAAATACAGAATACTCGGTTAAATGTGAATTTCAGAGAAACAATACATTATTATTTATTATAAATATGTCCCATGCAATATTTGGGATGTACTTATACTAAAAATTATGTATTGTTTCTTTGAAATTCAAGATTAACTGGGCCCCCTGCATTTCATCTGGAAAGCCTCTACCGTCAGCACAAAGGACAGAGGGTGAAGAGGTAGGGGGTAGGGAGGGTGGCAGCTCTCACCAAGGCAAAGACTTGGCCATCCGGCTCAGGACTCCGGCTGTTCCTGAAGAGTGGGCTGGTCGGAGCCACAGAGCAGGGGGGTCACCTCCTCCCTCAGCTAGACAGATGAACAGGCAGAGACACATGCACGTACAAATACACATACCCTGCAGCCTGCTTGTAGGGCAGACAGCGATCATGTCATGGAACAGCTTCTCTGCCACAGACTTGCAAGAAGGCAGCACAGAACATTCAACCCCAAGTGCAGGGCCCTTGTGACCCTAGGACCCTGTGTGACTGTGCTGGTCCCAGGGCCGTGAAGCCAGCCTTGGGGGGAAGAGCTGAGGTCATTCTTTGGGTCACTTGGCATTTCTGAGTCTCAGTTTCCTTTTTGGGGAAAAGGCGGGGAGGCTCTAAGGTCGCATGGGGACGAAGCCTGGGAAACTGGCAGAACCCCGAGCCCCTGTGGGTGCTCTCTCACGGCAGTTCTCCTTCTCTCTCTCCCCTGTTCTACGGTCAGCTGGCTTCCTCTTCTTCCTTAGGGTCCTTCTTAATGTTTATTGAGCACCTACTGTGTACCAGACATTGTGCAAAACACTTCGAATGCACGTAAACTTCTGTTGCGCTGCGGAGCGGCGCGACTGGGCGCGCTGCGGCAGGGGAACGCTTCTCGGTCTTTCGTCCTGGGACCCGGGAGCAACTGCTGCTTCGGAGGGACGGAGCGCACCTGGGGAGCGCGGCACTCCCTGAATCTGAGGGAAACCGTCTGGGCCGGCTGGGATGGGAGCAGGGCTCTGAATCCTGTAGAGCCCATCCCAGGGGTGTCACAGATGAGGGGAATAAACACAAATCGTCACAAACACTTCTCTGTTTGCCAGGAGAGGGCACATGGGCACTTCCCTCTTAGTGGAGAAGCCCTGTGGCACATCCCTCTAGTAGGGAAGGCCTGGAGTCCCTTTGTCCAAAGGCTTTTATTGAAGGGTTATCAGTGGGGCTAGGTTAACAGGAATGCACAGGTAATCTCATTACATCCATATGTTAATGTTTACAGAGAATGGGTGATGTTTTGAAGAAAACAAATGGCAGGAACACATCGATTTACATGGGTCTGAGAGGAGACTGGTAAACAAGAGAGATGGCTAAACATGAGAGCATAGTAAACATAAGAGCGCCCAAGGATATAGGGTTAGGGTCTGTGAATAATGTAAATTTCCTTCTGAGCATGAGTTGGCTAGAGCTTTTGAGGGAAGAACAAAGCGCACTTTAAAGAATTTACTTTTAGGCCTGATTTCCCCTGGCAACCACCAGATCTGGTTTAGGGCTGATTCCTATATTTTTTCAAGCCTTGAGCCAGGCCAGGGGGAAGGAGCCACCAAGAGACAGGGAGACTTTTTTAGGATAGAATGAGGACTCTGGCCATGTCCAAGCTGAGCCAAGAAGTATGGGCCTTTTTGCCCTTTCTCCCTGTCCCCCAATTTCTTGTCTGCTGCCAATAGTCGATTGACATCTGTCTTAGGATGTATACCTCAGCTCAAGGTAACCGACCCGTCCTTGATTAACCAATCCTTCATGGCAAAACAGAGAGGCAGGAGCTACGCCCCTGCCAGGGGAGACAGGTTATGGCTCCTCAGGAGCCTGTTTCTCCAAGGTGTCCAGATTATTTCTAGCCTTGGGGCCCTCCTGCCTGTTGGCAGGGTTATAGTTCCTGAAATCAGACAGGGCATTTCCCAACAAACTTCACTACAGCCCTATGCTGTAATAATAACAGTAGCACATATGAATGTTTACCCTGTGCAGGGCACTGAGCCAAGTGCTTTACCCGTGTGAACAGATGTAACCCTCTGGCAGCCTTGTGACACAGGGACTGTTAGTAGTCCCTTTCTGCAGGCAAGGAAACTGACACCTAACAGGGTTAGATAACTATCTGGCTGAACGAGTTGTAGGTGGCACAGTTGGGTTTGAACTCAGGCACTGGGGGGCCCCCAGTGCCACACATTTAAATCCTGCATTACATTACCTATCTTCGCTCCCGCCGTGACTCTTGGTTTCCACCCCTCATCCCTTCTCCTTGCCCAGGGTGCTGGTGGGTGCCCCAGCTTCTCTCCGTAGAACACAGCATTTCAGCTGCAGCCTCCATCCCCCGAGCCTTGCCTTGGCCAGGTTCTCAGCAGAGGGACTCCTACCAGCCCAGCTCACCCCCTCCCACAGGTCCCTGCACTGGCTGCTGGCCAGCTTTTGGAGCAGCTGTTCTAGGAGCAGGAACCCATACTGACCTGGGCAGCTGTGGCTGGGCCAGGAGCCGTCATGTGACACGGAAAGACCATGGCTGTGACTCCTGGAGCAGGAGGGTAGAGGGAAATGCTGTCCCTCAGAGGGGCTGCGGGTGTGGGGAGCCCAGGGGCTGCCGTCCTGACCTATCCCATCAGGGCCTGGAGTCGAGGCCTTGTCTGAGGGAGGAGCCAGCACATCCTGATCCACTGTCTAGGCCTAGGCTTCTGTCAGGAGAGCCTTCCATCCCAAAGCCAAAAGCCCGGCCAGGGGTAAGAGTTACCCCTCCTCTTACATAAATAAATGTGGAATCAGACCCTGCATGAGGAGGACTTCCCTTTGGCCTGGGGCTTTCTTGCTGCCATCCTGCCTGGGCCGCTGGCAGTGGTCTCTGGGTTGCTTTCCTTCTCACCCTTCCTTCTCTTCCTCCCTCCACGTGGCAGAGCTCCGCCTGGAAGGGAACTTCCTGCACCGCCTCCCCAATGAGGTCAGTACCTTGCAGCACCTTAAGGCCATCGACCTGTCTCGGAACCAGTTCCACGACTTCCCTGAGCAGCTCACCACCCTGCCTGCGCTGGAGACCATCAATCTGGAGGAGAACGAGATCGTGGGTGAGTGGACAAAGCCCCTGTGGCCCCCGTTCCTCCCTCGGAGCTCGCTTTCCTGAGTGAAGCTCACCGGGCCTCACCGGGCACGAGGCATGGGGCTCTGGAGTCACGCTTTCACAGACAGGAAGGCTGGGCTGGGAGTACTTGACTTTAACACTCAGACCTGAGCCTGGAATGGGGTTTCCTTGACTGGCCCTCCGGGAAGGCTCTGGGGATGGGCTCTGATTCAGTCTTGTCCTCTAAAGACCAGGATCCCTGCGTAGCTTGCCCCTTGGCTGAACCCCTGGTCCCTTGGGTTCATACTTAAGTGGAAGGAGCATGCTCAGAGGTTCCTTTTCACTGTGAGGCTCTCCCTCCTGTGGAAGACCCGCCCAGGGTCTTGCCCTGAGCCTTTCCTTCTCAGCTGGGCCCTCCTTCCTGCGCCCTTCCTCCCCTGCCTCTTATTCCTTGAGGCCTTTCTGATGCCACCACTTCCTTCTGCTGCTTATCCAAATGAGGCAATACCCATACAGGATACTATAGGCTGATGCCAAGGCCAGAACCAGGCATGGAGTTGCTGGCAGGCAGGTCAGGGCAAGAATTAGCCATTGGCTTCCTCCTTTCCTAACTGTGGCCTTTGAAGACTCACATCACTTCTCTGAGCCTCAGCTTCTTCTCAGCTTTCAAATGGAGGTTCACTCCTACCCCAAAAGATGGCTTTTCCCTAAGCAGGGGAACAGGGGGAGTGGGCATCTCGGTGGCTGCAGGACAAGAAGTAACTTTCCCTAAAGCAGGCAGTACAGGGCGGCATGGTTCCCTAACCCTTCCCCTCCCGTGAGGATGACAGTATCCCTCAGTAGCAACAGCCCCCTGAGCAAAGATCGGCTACTTTGACTCATTCTTTTATAGACATAGCTCTGCCCTTCTGCAGCGACAGTAACAACTCTACATGTGGAAGCATCTTAAAGTTTAACAACAACGCTCATGCACAGGCCTGCGCCAACAGAGTAGTCACCCCCATTTGACAGATGGAAATGCCGAGGCTCTAACGTTCTCCAGGCAGGCAGGGGAGGAGATCCTTCCAAGAGGCGGCAGCTTCCCTCTGGTCTCCATCAAGAGATGAGATCCCCAGGATGCGGTGTCTCTGCCATCCTCCCTAGTCCAGTGTACAAATGGCCAGGACCTCAGGATCACCCTCCCCTGACATTCCTGTCACTGTCCCAGTGTCACCCGGTTTCACAGACCAAAATGAGCAGCGTCACTGGGGCAGCAGGAGCATGGCTTCATTTCACTAGGGCGGCTCTGCACCGGGCTGCCCCTGGGCGCGTGGTTCTGGCTGCTCTGGTTGCTCCCAGAACCTGCCCATGGTTGCGGCGATGAGGCGATTATTGAGCACCAGGATGCTGTTGGCACTCTGCTGGTAGCACAAAAACAGCAAGAGAAGTTCTTTGCTTGAAATAAAACAAGGTGCCTCCGCGCTCTGGTAGCCAGCCAGTCTCCGGTGTGGCCTGTCCCCATCTCTGTCCAGAGTGCTGGAGAGCAGCCCACGCACTCTGAGTCTCAGAGCGCAGCCTTGCCAGGACCTATTCCAGCAATAAGAGGCAAGGCAGGAACCCGGGCCTGGATATGGACACGGATGCTTTCGGGAAATGTTCCTCCGTTCACCAGTTGTTGTTTGTGACTGAGCAGCTTGCTCTGTATTGGGCACTGTGCTGGAGACAGAGGTGGACAAAGCAGACTCCCTGCTCTCACAGGGCCTGTGGCATGGTCATTACACCTGCTGCTGTCCCGTGACCATTTACTTCACACCAGGATATTCTGTAAGCATTTTTCAAGTATATTCTTGTTTGAACCTCACAATAACCTTATGAGGCAGGCACTGCTATTCTCCCCAGGTGAGGAAAATGAGGCACAGAGACATTAAGTAACTGGACTAAGGACATGCACCTAGGGTAGAACCAGGATTCCAACCCAAGCAGGTTTGCTGCAGAACCCCAGCTGTTTAGGACAGTGCTTTACAGAAGGAGAGAAGGTTTTTGCACATAGCCATAGGGAGATAGAAAGCCACAGGAGCCCTTCCTGGTGTGGCCCAGTGGATTGAGCACCAGCCTGCAAACCAAAAGGTCATGAGTTTAATTCTCAGTCAGGGCACATGCCTGGGTTGTGGGCCAGGTCCCCAGCTGGGGGCAAGTGACAGGCAGCTGATTTATGTCAATGTTTCTCTTCCTCTCTTTCTCCCTCCCTTCCCCTCTCTCTAAAATAAATAAATAAAATCTTTTTTAAAAAGAGAGAAAGAAAGCAAGCGCAGGAAAGTTATGGCTGAAGCACATAACTTTGGTTGGAAGGAAACTTTCTTGGGGTGGAGGGAACAGTATGGTAACGAGGCAGGATGTCCTAGGCCATGCAGGCAATCGGCCTCGCTCCTGCCAGCTCTGCCTCCTGCCCTGAAGCAGGCGGGCAGCATCCCAGGATGGAAGTGCTGGAAGGTCGGAGGTACTCAAAGCAGCTGCACATTCAGCGCATCCAGGGAGCTTCAAAAAAAACCCTGTGCCTAGACCACACCCTGGGCCGACTAAATCAGAACCTCTCATGGTGGGTTTTGGGGCTTAATAATTTGAAAAAAAAACTCCCCGGAATGTTGCAATGTGCAGATAAGATAGAACCACTAAGTTATGCCAGAACCTTCCATCAACAACTACATTCCAGCCCTGAAGAAGCTATAACCTCCCATGCCCTCCTCTTCGCAATGACTGGGGGTGGGGTGGGGGGCGGGGAGCGGGGGGGTGGGGAGAGAGAGAGAGAGAGAGAGTCTACATCAGGGTGAGTAGGGCAACAGCCTGGCCAGGGGAGCCGAGCTCTGTGGACTTGCCTTCCTCCCTCAGGGCCCCTCTTCCCACCAACCCTGCTGTCCTTTGGACTTTTGGGCACCGTGCTCTCTTGGCCCGGGGCCCCGTCTCCTGGTGTTCCCATAGCACAGCCTACTCACCTGGCATTCTCAGGAGGAACTTTATCAGTAAGTCAAAGGCAATGGAAACAGACAGTAAGTGAGAAGTGGGCCAGTTCCCAATGTACATGTTTATGCCAAAGGATTCCAGTGTAAGTGGAGCTGGCCTGTGCTCCAGTACCTTCCACTCGGGAGCCCGCAGTGCTGCCTGCGTGGGCCACGCAGCGCGGCCACTGGTGATGCTGCGGGAGGCGCTTGCTCACCTTCAGTGACCTCACCTTCAACTCATTTTCCTTCCCCAAATCTGGTTTCTCTGGCAGGGCCCTAACTAACTCATTCCCTCCTGGTCATTATCTTAGGAGCTTTTCTTCTACCTTTTGCAGTTGCAAGGGAGGTCTTATTTCTCAGACAGTGATCTCCTCCTCTCAGTGCCCATTTAGACTGAGAGCACTGCAAGTGTGAAGAACAGGGCTCTGAAGTGATTGTTTGGGTTTTGTTTTTTTTTTAATTTAAAATTTAGCCTCTAGCTGGCCCCACAGGCATAAACAAGTCTGCCAGCCAATAGTGCTCATGATCAGTGAAGGGAGGTTAAGCTGACTTTAGTGAAGTAATTCCAAGCACTGCGCACTCTGATTTTGCTGTTGCAGATCACTTTAAGCTTCCACAGACATGGGCTGGAGTCTGGGATGTCTGCAGAGGCAGGAGGGCTAGGTCCTTCTGCACCTGGGGGGACAAGGCCCACCCAGGGCCTGGGGTCACCAGCTGCAGCATTGTGAGGTGACAAAAACAAGCAGTAGACTGTGCCCCACCTGTGCCAGAATTTGTGGTGTTTACTCTAGGTTGGGGTCCGTCTTCCCCACTGTGGGCCAGAGCGGCTTTAGTCCACACAGGACAATAGGCCTTGCAACCTAAGCCCATCACCACCACCAGACACTTGAGGGCCGTCGGGAAGTCAAAGGACTATTACTCTAGCTTCATAAAAGAATTCTAGAACATCACATCCTGCCTCCTACAGTCATAAGCTAGAAGAGATGAGGTGACCCGGGAATGCCTTGTGAACTCACAGCCTCCAGTTGTTTGTAATAGAGAAAGTTGGAATCACCCTGAATGTCCAACAACAGAAACGGGAGCCAAAGTGTGTCCCTCTGTACCATGGTCTAGCTGTAGCCATAATAATGTCACCAACTTGTAACCTGAAAAGATGTTTACAACGTGTCATCAAGAAAATCATGTTATAACATAGTACCTAGGAGGCCATTTTTGAAATACAGACGTGTGTATATGTGCCTGTCCATTAAAGAATTAATATGAAATACTAATTTTAAAAATAATTAATTGGAAAGGCCATATACTAACACATTAAGTGATAAGTTCTAGATGGTGGGATGTAGGTGATTTTATTTTATTTTTGCTCATCAATATTTTTCATTTCTTAAATTGGATTTCTAGTGTTAAGGGGCCAGTGTCCTATCATATAGCCTTGATCCACAGAGGCCTGGTTCCAACTGGCAGATGTTCACAGAATGGGTCAGACCAGGGAGAGGGCTCTAACTCTTGAATGTACTGTGGTCACAGAGCTGTTTAATAAAATTGTGTTGATGGTGGATCTACTATGTACCCAGCTCAGGGTGGTCCTGAGCCTGAAAGAACTTGTGATCTAATTCAGGACACAAGGCCATTCATCCATTCATTCATCCATCCATTCATTCATCCAGTTAATAGTTACTAAGCACCTGTTGGCACTGTGCGAGGTACCTCATTTAAAGGCGGGACATTTTCACAGCCTGCATATGCATAGCATGATCCATGATACAAGACTGGTATAAAGTGTGGTAAGAGTTTGGATGGGGACCGAGGGAACTGTCGGAGGAAGGGGCCTTTGAGCTGGGATTTGAGGATCAGCAGGCCACCGGTGAATGGTGACGAGGGAATGACCCATGGAAGAGGGGAGAGCTGAGGCTCCTCTTCCTGTCCAGGTGTGCCCAAGTCCAGATACCTGGCTTCTGTTCCCTCTGAGCCATGTGGCCTTGGGAAGCTTACTTAACCTCTCCAAGCCTCAGTTTCCTCATCCACAAAGTGAAAATCATTTCATATCCTCCTCTCTACCCTCTAGCCATCTTCCCCTCTTGTCAGGGTGCTGCGAATGTAAACTATCTTCCTTAAGCTTTACCTAAAAACTGCAGGTTGGCTTCTTGGGCTTGTGGCTTGCCAGCTTGGCTGCTCCAGGCTGTTGATTCTGCCAGCGTTGACAGCCTGGTGGTTCCCTTGCTCCTTCCCCTAAGCAGCTCAGACAACTTTAGCAGTTAAAGCCGGGGAAAGAGATACACCTAATGCCCGCCCCGCGCCCGTGAAGGCCATCGCTCTCCTTCAGCAGGGCAGTTTGGAGAGCACTGCAGACCTGGAAAGGCCACTTGGTGGCGGATGTGGAAACGACAAACCGAGAAGTCAAACAGGGCTGCTGGCTCTAGGCCTGGAGTCGCAGGGATTTGCTCCAAGGCTGAGCTGCAGCTGGTCTTAGTGTCACACCAGCAAACCTCATCGCGGGGAGACCCTCTTCCTACTCTCATGAATACCGGCCACCTTGCAGGCCTCTGGCCATGGCTGAGGGGTGGAGGAATCATAGAGTTCAAAGACAGAAAAGGTCTCAGCAACCCTGTAGTTCAACCCCCTGTGGGGAAACAGGTCCCCAGTGGCAGGTGTGGCGATGAGGTGACAGTGGCTCTGAGGCTCGGCCCCCTATCTTTGAAGTGAGCCTGTATTGACAGTTAAGGTTACGATGCCCACCGCTCAGGGTCCAGCCCTTAATGTGTTGCTCAGTGAAATCTGCCTGTTGTGATTACCTTCTGGGGGCTGAGGGGCCAGTGTAGTGTGGCTGGATCTGGCCTTGGCCTTGCCCCTCTGTGTTGTGGCATGAAGCACATGGGCTTTGGGATCAGAAACTGTCCTGCCTGCACCACTTACTGGCTTGGTGACCTTAGAGTCTATCAAAACAAAACAAAACAAAAAAAACAACCAGAGCTGAATGGTAGTTAAAGCAGTAAAAACAGATTTTATTCAGTACACTTGCAATAATAGAAAAAAAGACCTCAGTGTAGAACCAGGCTCGATCACAAATACAACAGGGGCACTTGGGAGTTTATAGCCAAGGAGCAAGGGGTGGGGGTTGGGGGGGGGGGTCAGTGGATAGAATATTACTAAGAGGAAGAACATCATGGGTGAGAGGAGATTCTGGCTAAGTGACCTCAGAGGACTCTTGCTGAAGGCAGGCCAGGGTGACCAGACATCACCTGGCGGGTGATGAAGGGTGAGGAACCTGATTAGATATCAGGGGTGCTCAGATACTGAGGGTGGAGGGTTCTGACCAGCCCTACTCGCCATCCTGCAGCCAGTCTTCTTGCTTGGGACCCAGCTCCCAGCCACGGCCCAGCCTAGCGACTCCTTCCCAGCTGCCCGGAATGTCTTTTTGTGTCCGACATGTGTTACACCTTAGGCATTCAAAGACAAAGTCTCTGCCTTCAGGAGCTTAAGAGTGTTCTCAGGGTGTACAGGGGGACTGGGCCACTGTCAAATAAACAGAACCAGGTCCTCAGGGAGCTTAGAGCCAGGTCACCCCGAGGTGAGAAAGGAGGTTGCACTCCTGGGCAAGGGTTTGGCTCCCTGTTCACAGGGCCCCGGGACTCTTGCATATCGCTCTGTTCTGGTCTAAGCAAGTGTCCTCTGTCCCATCATCAGCCTGGCTGCCCAGTGGCCGGGTGTTTTGGGCCAAAGTTGCTTCCTCCCACTGTGCCTCAGTTTCCACGACCTGCACATCCCCTGGCCAGCAACCCATGAATATGAGTACTTTGATGGTCCTTCTGGCTGGCTCTCTCAGCTCCTAGCAGGGGCCACATCTGGGGCTTCTGACCTCCTGTGAGTGGTGGGGAGGGGCTCAGGAGCTGTAGCGCTTTCGGGGAAATCTGAAGCTCAACACTGCTTCCCTTTCCACATGATCTCATACCCAGGTCATTTCAGTGCCAAACTCAGGCTGAGGTGTATTGCTGCCAAGGTTCGTGGCAGGCGTCTGCATGCTCAGGAGCTCGTACGCGTCCTCGAGGACTGTGGTGGCGCTCGGCTGGTGTGTTTGGTGCCAACACCAGACTAGCGCTAGGGAGCAGCGGGTCCAATGCTTGTCAAGTGTGTGTTGCTGGAGCTTTGCCCTGGCATGCTGCATACAGTCATTTTGGTGATTTCTCGTGGTCTCCCTGCGAGGTGAGCAGAGGGGCCCCCATTTTACAGGTGAGAAAACTGATGTTCAGAGATGCTGCCTAGGCCAACACAGTCAGTCACTGGATAAGCCAGCCCTGTTCAGCATCTGAACCACCTCTCCCTGCCTAGGATCACGGGAAATGGAGGATGTAGGGGGTGCTCACCTGAGGAAGATGGTGGTGGTGGTTGCTGAGCAACAAGTTTCACAAGTGTTGTCACGGACAGTAAGGGACAGGTTCTCTTCTGCACTGTGACCCAGAGCAGGATCAGGAGGCATGGAAGTTTCCGGAACCAATCTGAGACCAGGAAACCCTTTTCCTCACAGCAGGAAACGTTTTTCCTCACAGCAGATCAGCAAGGAAATTCTTGTCATGGGGACATGAGAGAGATCAGAGGTTCTGTGACACCTGCCATGTGCCCCTAACTTCTCTTGGAGGTGGGGTCCCCGGGCTGGGCGGTGGAGGGAGCTGTTCTTGGTTGGGGGGCCCAGAGAACTGTGAGCATCCTGGTCAAGGAAGCCAGACACTCCTGGGTCCCAGGGAGCCCGGCCGAAGACCGTTTTCTCTCTCCCATTACTGACAGGACCCCTGGGAGGGTCCCAGAGCTGGTCGGCGGGAGGCGTGCCAGGCTGCAGGGCTGGATGGGAGGTAGCGTGAGGAGCCCCGACGCTGAGCCGGCCAGCCCGTCTGCATGTCCTGGTTCCGGCACTTCCTGGCCCTGCGACCTTGGCCAGTTACCTAGCCTCTGTGCTCTTCATTTTCCTCATTTATAAAATGGCGATAATAGTCCTCAACTCACATGGCTGTTGTGAGGATTAAAAAATTCAACATAAAGAGTTTAAGTCAGCAAGCGCTCAATACGTGTTAAATAAGCAAACAAAAACACTAGCAACAATAAAATTTGACCAAACACAAAGATCCCAAAGGCCCAAATCTCTGAAAACTCCCATCCCGCTGGGAACCTCTTGGGCTGCAGCCCTGGGGAGAAGAGGCCCCTGGGGACGCCCCTGGGTGCCCAGTCACCTGCCAGCTCCTGTTGGAGCCTTTGGGCTGCTTTCTCCTGTCCCACCCCTACCTGACCCAGCTGGGCAGGGATATTGTGGAGCTTGCTATGAAGCAGGAGGCAGCAAACCAGGGCCAGCTCTGCTGCTCATAGCTATGTGTCCTTCAGTGTCAGTCTTTCCTGAACCTCAGTTTCCTCATCTGTAAAGTGGGCAGAGGGGCACTTTAGAGATGAGGCAATTGTAGGCCGTGGAATGCTGCTCTGCCCCAAGGCTGTGGGGAGGATCGAATGGAAGTGCTTTATAAACTTGAATGACACGCACATACGAGGAACTGCCCTGAGCTAATGACCTCCCCTTCCCTGTCCCCACAGCCATGGGGGTAGAGTTAGTGGGGTAAATGCATCCCAGTTACCAAGCCCGGGGGGAGGGGATTCTTTCCAAAGGGTAGAGAGCACAGCCTAGCGTGGGCTGTCCTCACCGCCTTCAGCACTACCCGCCGCTTTCTGCAGGGCTCTAAGGCTTGGAAGGGAAGGATACTGCAGAACCCTCACTAAAGGTCAGGGGCTTGATCAGCCTGGAGGTGGGGGTGGGAAGGCCCAGGCAGCCTCTTTGGAAAGCCCTGGGGCAACAGGGTGACTGGAGTTTCTGGTTGACTTGGCAGCTTTCGAGAGCAATCCGACAAGTATGCACACAAGTATGCACACGGTAGCCTTTGATGGAGCTTTCAACCCTGCTTCTGGGCATACCTCCAAAGACACTGTCACCCCTGCCCTTAAAGACAGATGGAGGCCACCTGGGTGTCCATTGCTGGCAGAATAGAGAGGGAGGGTATGGTGTGACACAGCATGATGTTCTAGGCAGCAGTCAAAAGCAAATAGCTCAGACATACACAGGGCCTTGAGGGTGAGCTGTGAATATGGTTTAGTCACCGGCACCATTAGAAGGGCGCTGATACCCTTCCCCGCCGAAAGGAACCAGGACTTCCTGACCGCTGACACTAGGACTGTGAAGGCTCGAGGTGGGCCTTACTGGAAAGAAAGGAAGTGTGTCCAAAAATTGCTGGGGGCAGGTCCAAAGTGGCCAGAGCCAGAAGGAAGGGACTCCTTCTGGCCAAATCGGGGATGATTTGAGCACTGAGATAATTAAAACAATAATGAATTTTAAGAAACATAGGAGTCCATATTGATAATAAATAGGTAGATAGGAGAGAAGGGAAGGCTCTTCCTTAAAGTATTGCTAGAGTTGGAAAATGGTAATTTTGTAACCACCATAAAGAGCAGATCAGGCAAGAGTCATCAGCGGATGTTAGATCTGGGGGCAGGGGATGCTCAGTGTTGATGAGCAGCGGGGTATTCGCATGCTCTTAAAGCGAGTCCCCACGTTTTGTTTCCCCATTCATCTGTTGGGGGCACTTGGCTATGGTGAATAGTGCTGTGTATATTTGTGCACAAGTATTCGAGGACCTGTCAGCAATTTTCTCAGTTCTACCCAGGAGTAGAATTGCTAGGATAAAGAAATCCTATGTTAATTCTATTTTTTAGGACCCTTTTCTGCATGTGGTTGTCATGCCCAAGGCTGGGCGCCCGGAGCTGAGCCCACGTGTGGTGGGTGATGGAGAGCTGCTCCCACCGAGTGTCAGCATCTTCCTGTTCCATCGTCCTTCTTGGCCCCTGGCCCCCTAACCTATCCCTCTCTCCCCAACAGATGTGCCCGTGGAGAAGCTGGCCGACATGCCCGCCTTACGCAGCATCAACCTCCGCTTCAACCCACTGAACGCCGAGGTGCGCGTCATCGCCCCGCCTCTCATCAAGTTTGACATGCTCATGTCTCCGGAGGGTGCACGGGCCCCTCCACCTTAGGCCTCCGTCCTCATGCCCACCCAGCAAGGGACAGAGGCTACCTGGCCTGGCACCCTGAGGGAGGGAGTCCCAGGGACCATGGGAAGCCAAGCTTGGGGGGCTAGGGGTGGGTGGGCCAAACGGTGCATGGTGGGAGGGGGTGCAGCGGTCCAGGATAGATAGCTTAGAGCAGTAGTGGGCCGTGGAATGCCCAGAGGGGAGAGGGGCGGTGGGGGCTACAGCCTGGACTCTGGGCATTCACAGTCCCTGTGCAAACTCGGGCAGACCCCCACCCTCTCTGAGTCTTATAGTTTGGGGGAAGGGTGGTGGCAGTGGGCCCTTGCCTCCTTTGAGCTCCTTGGAGGCTTTTTAGGAAACACATGCCTCCCGGTTCCCTTCAAATCCTCAGTACCTTCTGAGCTCACAGCTGAGCATCGCTGAGCATTTCCTGGGCCCTTATGGGTTGAGGCCTTGCTTGTAGTGCTGAGAGCCAGTCGCTGCCCTGAGAGGAATAGAAGACAACGTGCATCTATTTATTGCTTCCTGAGAACCAACCTGCTGAGGCCCTTCACAGCGCCCCACCCCCAGCCTCATGGGTCCCTGGATGGGCAGGAGCCTGAACCAGGAGTTGTGGGAAAGCTGCCGAGAGAGTGCGGATGCTGCAGCTGGGCTGGCAATGTTTACAAACGAGCCCAAGGACCAACAGGCCAGGAGACTGGGGAGCAGATCAAGTTGGCTCTGTTCTTCCTCATGATTAAGAAATTGCTAGGGCGGGAAGATCTGAGTGCACCCTCCCTCCCTCCGGAGTGACCAGCTATGCCTGGCCTCACCCCTGGAGCTGCAGGAGAATGGCCCAGAGAAACAAAGCCACTTGCGCCTGGGCCTTCCTCCACACAGTCTCCCTCTGGCAGCAGTCTGGCTGCCTTGTCACTTGTTCACCCAGAGGCAGAAGGCACTGTGGACCATTGGATTTGTAGCCGGCCAGCTCCCAGGCCACCACGCAAAGCCCTGATGACCTAGCCATTTCTAGACTCTCAGCCTGGAGTCGAGGGTCTGGTCAGGCAATAGGGTGACTGACCATCCCTGTTTGCTCAGGACACAGAACTTTCAGTGCTAACACAGGGACAGGACTGGCAAACAGGGACAACCAGTGGCTCTACCAGGTTGAGGGCATGGAGCTCTTGCTTCCTGTAACAACACCTGTGGTTTGGCAAACCCCTGACCTCCTGATTCTGCAGGTATCTACCTCCCACCGTCTCATCTGTGGAGCAAGCAGATCAGAGCCCACCTGGTCTGGACTTCTGTCCGAGTCTGTGGGAGACACCTGGGGCCCCAGGACTTGGGACAAATAGGCCACCCAGATTCTACATCCATGGACAAGTGGCCACTCTTATACAACTAGAGTTAAGCCGTTCAGAGCTCAGATCACCACTCAGCACTAGTCCTTTCTCAGAACACTCCCATTTCCTTCCCCTTCCCCAGCCCTGAGGCTGCCCTGCCCAGACCTCCTGTCTCTTGCCCAGAACTGACGTAGATTGTACGTAGATTGTAGGCCCGTGACCAAGCACTTGAGAATTTGGTGTCCCAAGAGATGCCTTGTTCACTCTGTTTATCTCTGAAGCCTGGGTGGTCAAGCTCTGGGAAAAGGGTTTTCAGGGCGAGGAGGCCTGATGAAATCTCTAGGGCTACTGAGCTCAGCAGGGGACACAAGAGGGCTGCAGTCTAGCCCAGCCTGGCCTGGGCCACCCACTCAACCTGTGTCCTGGAGTGGGGTCTCTCCTCTTTGAAGAAGGGGTGCATTTGCCTGATAAGCAAAAAGGCATTGCGTGGCCAGAGCCTTGCAACTTGGTGTGGTTTGTGGGCCAGCGGCATCAGCCTCCACGGGAGCTTGTTAGGAATTCAGGACCCCAGGCCCAATCCCAGACCCAGGAATCAGAGCCTGCCCTCCCGAAGATCCCCAGGGGATCCCTCCAAGCACTTTACTGTTTGAGAAGCAAGGGCCTAGGGTGGCCCTGGGGATGTCCTGGGAGTGAAGGGTGGAGTTGCTCAGCGTTCCCCCAATGCTGAGTCTGTGCCCGTCCCCCTCCATAAAGCAGCCCCTCCACCCCCACCCGGGCCTTTTAGATTTTTTCAGAGCCTGTGTGACTCTCCCAGCTAAGGGAGTGACCTGGAGTCACCAGGAAATGAGGGCCACGTTTGCCTGGCCCTCTGGCCTGCCTCTTTCTGGTTAACCCCAAATACCAAGCTGCTACTTCCCCAGGTCTTCATCTCAGGCCCTTAGGAGGGGTTGTTTCTGGAAGCTGTTTTCTACTCTGCTTGGGGAGTTTGCCCTGGCCTCTCTGGGAAAGGTTGGGCCAGCAGAGAAGCCCCAGGTCAGAGCCCACAGTGTGAGCCCTTAGCTTCAGTCTGCAATAAAGAATGCATTGGTTTCACCTGCCTGGTTGGTGTTTGATTTCTTCTCACCGCACAGGCCTCCTATAGGCTGGGTGTCAGTCCTTTCCACCTGAGAAGAGGCGGGGCTACCCCTCTGGTTGAAAGCTAGACTGAGGCGCTAGATGGGCACAGGTGCAGCCCAGAGGAATTGACGCATGCGCTGAAGCTCCGCTGCTGCAGACCCCTAAACAGCAGCTCTGCCCTGGGGTGGCCCGCGTACCTGGGAGAGGATGAAGGAACCTGTCGTCTCCCAATTTTTCCCTCACCAATGCCAGGAATTACACCCTTAGCAATTCATTCTGCAGAGTCCGTGGTTCTCAAAGAGGGGTCTCTGGACCAGCAGCACTGACATCACTGGGGGACTGGTAAGACCTGCGAACTCTCAGTCCCACCCCCTGATCCACAGAATCAGGCGCTCTGGGGCCCAGCACTCCTGGGGTCAAGGTTCAAGACAGATTTTGTTTTCTAAATTTGAAAGTCCAGCCTGAGTTTGCCTTAAGTTTTAGGCCAGCCACTTGGTTATTTTTATTTAACAGACACAGAGAGCATAGTGGTACCAGGTAGTGCCTAAGCACGTTAGACAGAACTCATTTAATCCCTGTAACAACCCTACCTAGCCCTGTGAATTGGACAAATCCCTTCCCCTCCCTGTCTCGGCTTCCTGCCTGTAAAGGGAAGGGGCTGCACAGGGAGAACCTGGCCAAGGTCAGACATCAGTCGGCTGCCCCCCAGACAGCCGCCCACCTTTCCTAAGAGGCTTCAACGCCTTCCCAAAGACATGTTCTTCCTGACTCTGTGGAGCCTGACCTGAACTCCACCTTGAGCTGGAGAAGCCCTCCCCGCTGCCACTGCCCAGGGTGCAGGACTCTCGCCAGAAAGCTGCAGTTCCTCAGTGTGCCCCCGGCCGCTCCTCACAAAGAAACCCTTTTCTCGGGCTCTCTCAAGGAAAAGGTAAACGGTCAGAGTAAGAAAGTTCTGGTCCAGACCTCTCCCTTTTTATAGATAGGTGCAGCGACTGGCCCAAGGATGTGCAGGGAGCTCCTGGCAGAGCACACACAAAGGCCCAGGTTTCCTGGCTCCTGCCCTGGGTCCCTTCTGGGGCCTTCGATGAGTCTCGGTGTTGGGAGCTTGCCCTCTTAACTCCCCCGGCCTCTCCCCCTGACCATGCTGCCCTACTTGTTCTGTGGACGTGAGTAAGACGTTAGAGCCCCTGCTCGTCATCTGTAAGTGCAGATAACAACATCGATCTTCCTTGGCGAGAGCTCACTCATGACCATTTTAAAGCATTTTGAAGACAGTTTTCCTCAGAGGCTGGCTGGGGGGGAGGGAGGGCACCTCCTGGCTCCCAGGTAGAGACCCTTCCCCAGTCTAGATCTCAGCCTCTCGGCAGCGCCCCTGGCCTCGCTCTTCAAGGGGACAGCCCCTCCTCCCCTATCCTTTGTCCTCCCCCTCCACCACCAAACAAATACTGAGAACCTCTGGCAGTGTGCTGGGGGTCTGCTTTCCAGGGACCGTATGGCCACCAGGCTGAGACCCTCTTACACTTCCCTGTAGATTCTGAGCCTTTTCAAAATGGTGGCTACGCCAGTGGCCTTCCTCGCTCCAAAGATCCCTGTGTGTTTCCAACCAGGGAGAGAGACTAGGTCTCCCATCAGAGAGGCTTGGCTTTCCTGCCCCTGGGGGCGGTATCCTGCAGGGCACTGCAGCTTTATGCCAGGCCTTCTCTCTCCCTGCAACTCTCCCTAGGCACCTGCAATTCTCTCAGGCATCTCAGGACACGGCTCCAGCTGTGCTAAGAGAATTTCATGGAAGAGGCCAGCACAGGCCTTGTGCATCCCATCCACACTCACTACTCACTGAGGTCTGGGACCCGGAAGGACGCCAGGACATGAAACCTTCAAGGAGAAAGGCAGTCATTTGGTGACCCCCATCAATGCCCCGCAGAAAGTTTGAAGATCACCCTCTACTTTCTCCCCTGCTCTCTGTAGACTGTTCTCTAAGCGGGTGTCCACACTGATCCCAGTTGGCACAGGAGGCTTGTCTCCCTTCAAGGACCTTTTCAAACCCTCTGCCCTCCTCTCAGCTGCTAGTACACAGCTTTTTAGGTGGAAATCAGTTTCCAGAATGGTGGGGCTTTCTGTTCAAAGACTCCCTAGGCCACAGCCATTGGGGATGGGGCAAGGTGGGGAGTAGCTCCCCTGAAGATAAGGGGCCAGGCCAGGGCTTGGCCAGAATGGGCAGAGTGGGAAGACCTGAAGGGCAAGGAAGTGGCGGGGCTCTTCAAGATGTGCAGGGATTGCTTCTGTGCTCTGGATGGCAGCACCCTTTGTCTCTCAGAGGCTCCCAGAGGGCCAAGAACCTTGAGGACAGGCAGGGTGGGGGCCAGCAGGCCCAATGCCCAGGGAACCCAGAGGCGTGCCCCCCTCTTTCCTCCACTGTCCAGCTGTGCAATATTGGGGAAGGCACCAGCCTCAGTAGCTTCACCTACAGAATAGGAGCAATGGCTTCCTATTTGTCTGAAAGGCTCTGGATCTGAGTTTCAGGACTGGGAAGGACCCCAGCCTCCAGTACCTCCAGGTTGGGAGAGCCTAGAAGAAGGCACGATCTGACAGAGCATTTCGGGGCCTCAGGTTTCCTGGGAACCCTGTTGGGGTAAGGAAGGGAGTGAG